GATCCCGCTAATGGCGGTTCTCCAGCACAACAAACAAAAGGTGAGGCCGGTGCTCGACTATCGAGAACTGAACGAGCACGTGGACCCTTTTACTGCCCGCGCGGACGTGTGTACCGAGAAGCTAAAGGGAATGGCGACAAGCAGGATCAAATGTATCTGTGCTGGATCTTCGCAAGGCATACCTTCAAGTGCGCAGCACCAATCACTGTGGCCCTATCAAACCGTGCTTATCAAGGGGCAACGGTATTGCCTGACCCGCATGGGGTTTGGACTCAATGTGGCGCCATCGATTATGCAGATGATTGTTGACGCCATTCTAACGGCGATGAGCGCATACAGCGGGCAACATCTGCATATATTGATGACGTGTAATGCATTGAACGAGGGAGTCGTATCCCGCGGCGCGCGTGAAGGAGCATCTCTACAACTTTGGCCTCCTCAGCAAGGAACCGGAGAGACTACAGGATGGTGCACGGGTGCTTGGTTTGCAGGTCTGGGAGAAGATAACGTCCTGTATTGGAAACGGGGAAACGAACTCCCAGACATGCCCCCTCTGTTGTCATGTGGCGAAGCATATTTTCCTTGTGCGGCAAGTTAGTTGGACACCTTCCTGTAGGTGGCTGGCTGCGTGTTGCGGTGGCGTTTATCAAGCGGAGAGCATCTGACGTCACCACTGGATGGGATGACGAAGTTCACGACGCCCCTCTCAACACCATGATGAAGGAGGTCCTCGCTAGAGTACGCAAGGAAGACCCAGCGCGGGGCAGATGGTGCGTTGACAGCCAAGACCAACATTTCACCCGTGCTTGGTGTACATCGTTTTGCGTTGCAGACATTTTCAGACGGAAAGAGTTGCGTCCCTTACACTGTTTAAGTCGACTCATTTGCTACACATACCAAAGAGAAACATATCACTGAATTCCTCCATAAGCAGAAAAATCATGATAAAGAAATGAAGGTTGTCAGTAGTCAGTAAGTTTTACAAAAAGAATACTTTTTAAATATAACTGCAAAGAAAAAAATCAAACCCTTTTTTTAATCATTTTACTTCAGGCAAGGTGATAATGCCACTAAGAATCAAGGGGTTACTAGGAGTGAAAGAGAATGAGAATAGTGAGGAGAAAAGACAATAAAAGGACAGAATTCAGAAAGATAGAAGATGGCAATTGATGTTGCATTTAAATTTTGAAGATTGTAGGTGGCAGGGAAGGAAGAAACTGATAGAGAGTATCATATTCAAAGTGTGAAAAAAGAAAGTATTAAAATAGAATTTATGTTTAATTCAACAGCAAAATGATGAAACCTAGTTGCCAATCTAGTAGTACGATTAAATTCATGAGGTTAAGGTACTAAGGAGGAAAGCTCATTAGAACAACTGCCATGAAAATATTTATAGAAAAGACAGAGGAAAGACACATCATGGAAGTAGGAAAGTGATTGAAGTTGAAATGCTAGGTCAGGACCAATAACATTACAGACTCTTCTTTGGATTTTGTCAAGAGTCTTGAGATATATAAGCACCAGACCAGATATGGTGCATGGATGAATGGTAGATATATAAATCTGAAATATGGATTCTGAAGAGAAAAATTATCTGGCATGACACAGTGAACCAACTTTTCTAGCAACGTATGTAGTATTTGATTAAATATAATCATTCTATTTCATGTCAGTGGAAAATATGAGACCAAGAAGATACAAGAGTTGCTCTCCTGGAGGTCAGCATCAACCATGCAGATGGAAGGCAAAAGATGGTTCTCTATGGTGGTTAAGACAGAACAGTTTCATTTTGAAGGTGTTAAAATTTACAAGCTATTTCTTGCCCCAGTTAAAAAATGATTGTTGATCATTTTTGAGAGTAGCTACCAGTCAGACATATCAGACATACGATTAAGACAGCTGAGTTTCTAGAATAAGGATTTATCATTATTTACACTCAGACTACTGCCTTTATTGTTAATTTCACAATGTTTCAGTCATTATACCTTCTGGCCTTTTTGAGCTGTTTGCTGATCCAGTTAACCTTTAGCAAATTTTGAAAAGAACCCTTTATTCAGTTTATAGGGGTAGATTGTTTTTGTTCCAATGTCCTTCTCTAGGAATATCTAATCTTGTCCTTTTTAAGTTATATTGCTCAGATATTGTTCATATAGATGATGAAACAAAACAATTACATCTGTTGGTCTTGGTTTCTTCAGGTCAGAATGGAAGACACTGAGACCAACAGACGTTGGCAAAACACATTGTTTATAAGTTTTCATACTTTGTCTCAGCTTCACTTTTGTTTTGCATACTATTATATATCCTACACACACACATATATTATAGAGATTAGCTGTTGACACACAGGAAATATTCAGAATTCATTGACTGAGCAATTAACATTACTATCGTTGATATTTATGAAATGTTTCTGTTTAAACAGTTTTTCAAGAAAACAGATTTCTCAAATCTAGTTATCACTCATCTTTGTTGCCATGTTTATCACAACTTTTTGGCAGTTGTATGCTCTGGCACTCCTCAGGTGGTTGGAATGTCGAACTGAACCTTTTATTTCACTCACTGGGGTAGACTGTTCTAGTTCCACTTGCCATATCCAATGGATGTCAGTTATCAATTATCTCCTGTTAATTCCCCTCTCCACTGCCTTAACCGGGTATTGAACTCACACTCTTTGGGTCCTGTCACTGGATCTAACTAATACCTTTATCCACTGTGCCATATGTCCTTGAGGACATCTGTGTATGAATTTCAACAAACGTTGAAACATTGTGATAAACATGGCAACAACGATGAGAACAATAGCCCAAATAATGTAAATAGTGTACATAATACCTCATCTCAGAAATATAGACAGATCTTCCTAAGAGTGATAGGAATTTTCTTTCTAACCTTTTGTTGAAGGTAGTGCAGAAAGTCAACATTTTATTATATTATTCCCTTCTAGTTACAAGTATTACCTATTTTAGTTGTTGCTGCTTTTTTTAGAAGTGTTCAAGTGATGTGTTTTTGCTACTTGGTAATGTTTGTTATGATTCTGTAGTACCAGTCTATAGGATTTGATGAAGGATTTTCTTTATTAAAAAGGATTTATTCATTTGAAGTGATTTTTATTCAGTGATCTGAGAAGATGATTGTATATAGATGATAATTTAAATACTTCTGAATGAGTTAGATGACATATGTTACATCTACACGAGAGTTGAGATCTCACTTTTTCCAGTCAATATTTTGGTTTTGTATCAACTTACGCTGTTGGACAAAAGTATTTCTTGTGCAGTTGGTCCTGTATTCAGTTTCCTTGTCTCCTATAGAAAATTTGTTAGAATTGAGACTTAAACTTGTGTGTGTGTGTGTGTATATATATATATGTTGTATGTACGTACGACCACATGAATGTGACACCTAAGGTTTAAAATGAATTTTCAAAAATGAAAAATCGTTCTTGAAGCTTTTATTTTAGATTAATTTCAAGCTTATAGATTAAATTTAATATTTCCAATAAGCAAAATACTTTGCTGTATTTCAAAACTAATTTAGTGGAAGGATTTTTTTTTAAAATTACTAAAAGTTTAGCACCATTTTTAGCCATCTTTCATCAGAATGTTATTCTGTTTATTAAAAAAATCTTTCAAAAATAAAATTTACTTTTTTGAAACTTTTATTTGAGGAATATTAGCTGATTTAAAGTTTAATTAATCTGATTTGAAGGAAGTATTACTTACCTTAAGTTTAAGATATCACAGAAATGTATTTTTTAACATGGCGGTATCTGTTTATTTAAGGTGTTAAAAGATTGACTGACAAACAGAAGTTTATCTAATTTTTTTTCTATGGTAGACATTTACTTGAGGTATACAACATGAGCATCTTTTTTACATAATTTTTAACTAGCTAGTAAACATAAAAATTTAGGGAAATATTCTCAGTAATCTAAAGTTTTATTCAATTTTTTGATATTTTGATTTTAAATTTATGACAGTTATCACTTTTATTATTTAGGCCTGAAGATTGCATTCAAGGATGAAACATACTTTTACTGTTCAATGTTGACTTCAGTGTTTACTTTCATACATAAACTATCTCTGATATTGAGCACTTTTACCATAAATATAGCCTACCTTAAAACTATATTGTTATTATATATATACATATATTGATTAGTAGTATTGATGTTGAAAATCAAACATCTTGATTATATCATTATTTTCCCTTCTAGTTAGACATGCTATCCATGTTACTTGCTGCTGCTTTTTATTTAAGTATTCAAGTGATGTGGTTTTTGTTATTTGTTAAAGTTCTTTGTGGTTCTGTAGAACCATTCTTTAAGATCTGATGAAGGTTTGATTTGATTGATTTATTTACTATGTCTTATCAACCCTTATTTAAAACCTGAAAATATTTTGAGATTCTAAGAATTTTTTGTGGGGAGATAAACATGTTTTACTATTTAACGCATAACTGGGAGGAGAAGAGGTGGATTCATACGTTTCCTCCAAGGGTATTTGCATGTAGGGGAATATAACAAACCTTACAGGAATTGGCTCTCCGATTACCAAGCCATTACCAAGCCATTATCCATTACACCAATTGTTCACCCATCTAGGTACTGACCAGTCTCGACATTGCTTAACTTTGGTTATTATAGAGGAACCAGTGTTCCAAGGCAATGTGGCCATAAGTTGAGATCTGATAAAGGACAGATTTTTTAAAACCTAAAGGATTCTTGCATTTGAAGCAATTTTAAATCAGTGACCTGAGAAAATGGTTGTATAATTAAACATGAAAATGTTATTTCTTATTACAGTAAAAATTATTTTTAGTGGATAGACCTGTCCAATTTTCTATGTCTGTTTTTTTATTTTCTTAAACAGTGAAATTAATAACAACCAGCCTAGGTTGAAAATGGTAATGCAAGTAAACTATTTCAATTCTTCAGTTTTTTCTCCTGATATAAAGAAAAACAGGACAATAAAGAAAAATAAGATGGGTTCACTCACGTAAGCTCATTGTCAATCCTTTGTTCTTCCCTAATAAAATTGGAGTAGTCCGTATCAACATCATGTCGTTGCTTGCGAACAGGTTGTATACTGACCGTGAAAGACACCCGGTCAAGAACATTCTATAATAAACAGAGAAATGGAAACAAGTTAAGAAAAATTAGAAATCTCACAACATGCAAACAGAACAAAATTTTGGGCTTATTATGATGACAGGTCCAGTTGATATAAGTGAAAATCATTTATCTGAAAACTGCAAGTAAACTATAGGTTGTGTTACATGAGCTGTAGGGAGGATAAAGTAAAATAATAATTATAACAAAAATCCTATAAATAATTTTTTTTTCCTTAAAAAAATCTTAGTGTGAGTACAATGAATACTGTATTTCCCATATGCTAAGATAGGTACCTCCACGAAATCGCTAAAAAAAGAGCATAGCTTGATGAAAAAGATGTCAACCTCGCCGAAAACTAAATTTTATTGTCTAAATGCTTATGTTATTATTAAGAGGAAAGACCAAAGTTTTTTTTTTAATTATTTTTAAAAATTTTCCTTCTTTTAGAACATTCTAAATTTTGATTAAAAAACCTTTTTTCTATTTGTATCAGCGGAACTAGTAAATAACATAGACAATTTTTAGCACGTTTTTTTGGTATGACACACATTAATTTGAAAAATCGTGCAAAAATAGAAATAATTATCGGATGTTAATGAAACTTTCAGGAACTATTCACAGATGATCGAAATTATTATAAATATGTTTTTTTATGAAAGTCATGGTAGAAATATTTTTTAAAAATATTTATTACCCCCCTAACTAATTTTATGAAAATGCTAGAAATTGATTGCATTGGTTTTAGTGATTACAATAATTAAAAGCACAGGGCTTTGAGGAATGCAAATCATGTTTTTTTTGTTTTTAATTGGATACGCAGTACCTGAAAATCAGCTCTGAATTGTAATATACAAAACTCAATAAAACAAAGATATTATTTAATTTCAAATGCTTTTATTTGCTTTTAGTTGTTTTTATGAATATGGACAATATTTTCTGAAAGCAAAAAAATTTTTTCGATGAAAAATGAATTTTAATACAATTATTTGTTATTTCATTAATTATAATAGATTTTACATTTAAGTTGTCAAAATATTATAAAATTAGTTAAAAAGTCAAGATCGGCTTTCATAAGTGTCCTTATGAGATAGATCTTTTTTTTAGTAATTGTAAATTGTATCATTTTGACTAATCAGAAGATCCCCAGTAATTAAGAAATGTAATTTTGTGCTTATAATCGAGCTGTAATTATAAAATACGGAAGACCAACCAGAATATAATTAAGTTGTGTTATTTGAGTTAAGCATTGTTCTCCGCTGTTAAGGCCTTTACTTTTGCGAAACACGTGTGGAGAAGTTAATTTGATTTTTCAATTTCAACTGAGAAGGTTACCTACAAGTATCAGTATCATCTTATGAAATTTATATGATCTTATTTTTATATTAATCTCAGTTTTTTCCATAAATGAAATATCAAAATTAATAATAAAATGAATGCAAATACAAATAACAGTAGAATGTAATAAATGTACATAAAATTATAGTATTTTATGCACAATTCTGATAAAATTTCATAAGAAAGGTACCTATAAATTAATTAGATACCTTTCTTAAGAAATATGAAATTTAATGTCACTCTTAACAGTTTTATTTTAATTTCTTTAGAATATATTTCCCATAAAGCATCATAAATGTAAAGGTGAAAGCTAAGTACAAAAAAAAAAAAAAAAAAATTAGACCGCTGAAAGTTTTCGTTAAAAATAACGGGATAAATAATTTGTTCACATAAATGTAAATTATTTCACTTTTCTCCTTCCGTAGAACAAATTAGCCTCATGAAATTCGTAAATATATCATTCATCACATGTCAAGAGACGCAAAAGTTTATGACCAGCTTTGTTTTATTTTCAAATTACATCTTTTTGGCACAAAAGCTAAGTTAAGTTTGGTTCAAAATATTTTAAATAAACATTATAATTTCTGATTTTCTTAAAATAAGTTTTGAAAAAATGATAATTGATATTTAAAAAAATTTCAAAGTCAGATTTCCAGTTTTTTTTTAAATGGAAAAAAATGGTCAATTTTGCTGACTCAAAAAAACTAGATTTTTTTAACGAAAATTTCGGACGTGCTAGGAACGATTAAAAATGGAAAAAATACCCCAAAAATACTTTGACCTTTCCTCTTAATAATAACAAACATTTAGATGATAAAATTTTGTTTTCGTCAAGTTTGGCGTCTTTTTCATCATGCTATGCTCTTTTTTTAGCGATCTCGTGGCGGTACCTATGCTAAGATCTATTTTTTCCCTGAAAAATCCCTTCCATAATCACACTGAAAAAAAAAAAAAAATGCCTTCAAAAATCACACTGAAAAGTCAAGTTGTAAAGAGGATTTTGCCAAACCTCATGAAACCCAGTCATGAGAAACAAGCAATTAGAAGTCCAAACAGGACCTCCAATCTGTGGTTGACTGTAGCAGAAAATGACTTGTAAACTTTAATGCCTCCAAAATGAAACTGCTCTCATTTATCTACCATAGAGAACCCTCTCTGCCTCCCATCAGGATGGTTGATGCCCAACTCGAGAGCACCTCTCTGTGCCTGCTTGGTCTTGCACTGTTCACTGACCTGAAGTGGAACAACTGCATTGAATCTATAGCTTCATTTGCTGCAAGGAAAGTTGGTTCTCTGTGTTGCACTAGAAGGTTTTTCTTGCCTGAGTCCATCTTTCAAGTCTACAAATCAGCCATTCATCCTTGAATGGAATACTGCTGCCGTATATGGTCTGGTGCTCCTGCTGTTCATCTTGAGGTCCTCGACAAAATCCAGAGATGGATATGCATCATGATTGGTCCTGATCTGGCATCCCATCTACAGTCACTTTCTCACAGACGAGCTGTGGCTTCTCTCTTTTCTACAAGTATTTTCATGGTAACTGTTTTAATGAGCTACTTTCACTGTTTCCCAAACTGCATGAATTTAAGCGTGTTACTAGGTTAGCATCTCGGTCCCAATCTTTCACTTTCAAAACAGCTAAATGTAGCCATCTCTTCTACTCCAACAGATTCTTATCTTGCACACACTTGTTAGTGGAACTCCCTTCCTATCACTTGCTTCCCTGATAGCTATAATCTTCAAATATAATGTCAATCAACATCCTCTGATGCCTTGACCTTGATCCCTGTCCTTCTTTTTATCCTTTTCACAAACACTCCTCTTTACTCTTACTCTCTGTAACCCCTTGCATGCTAGTGACACTCCTGCCTTGCTTGGGATGATTTGCTTAAAAAAAAATATATTAGCCTCCAATTATCATTCATATGTAATAAATACTGTATATTTCATTAGTATTATACCATATACATTGTTTTGTTTTTTCTAATATTGATGGTAACCAATCGACAGCTTCCTACCATTGAGATTTATTGCTTGAAAATACAGCAATTGTGGCGCTTCCTACCAGTACTGTAAGTCTTTCATTCATCTAAGCCAGTACTTCTTAAATTTTTTCATTCATGACCCCATTTTTCATCATGAGATTTTTTGTGGCCCCAGGTTGAAAATACATCCATTGTCATTGCACAAGTTGCAACAACGCTGCATGTGCATTTTATTACCACAGTACTTGTGTGGCGCATCACGTTAAATATTGTGTGTATGTGAAATAACATATAAACTGAAATTCAAGTGTTTGAAATTAATTTTCATGACTCCAGCATTTTGCTTTGTGACCCCATTTGGGGTCGCAACCTATAGTTTAAGCAGCACTGATCTAGGCATACCATATCCTCACAGATTCTAACTCCATCCACATAATGCAGGCTGAAAGGTCAAGTTGTAAAGAGGAATTTCCAACCCTCAGGAACCCCAGTTACAAAATACAAGCAATCATGAACTCCAAACATATAAGTGTACAATTATCAATCAAATGTAATAAGTACCAGATATCCTGTTAGTATTGTACACTATATATAGTTTTCTTTTAGTATTGATGGTAACCAGTTGGCAATTTCTTACTAGTACTAAAAGTCTTTCATTCATCAAGGCATACTGTACTTCCCAAACTCTAACACCAGCCACATAATATTGGCTGAAGGGTCAAGTTGTAGAGAGGAGTTTGCTAACCTTCAGGAAACCCAGTCACAAGATAAAAGCAATCATGAGCCCCAGACATATAATATTAGCCCACAATTATCATTCATATGTAATAAATATCATATATCCCATTAGTATCATACCATATATATCAGTTTTTTTTTAGTATTGATGGTAACCAGCTTTCTGCCAGTACTTAGTTCATCTAAGAATATTGTACAGTATCTTTACAAACCTAAACCTCAGCCACATAGTACAGGCTGACAGTTATGTTTCATATGTACACCAAGAATACCAGCCTTATTTCTGCACTTTGTGTACAATTGAAACAAGCCACTTAGCTCAATCTGCCTACCATTAATTCCAAATGTATGGTCACTTTTTAGAACCTACTATCTGCCATATTTGGTTATGGTGCCTTACTGATGTCATCTGCAGGCATACAATCCAACTACCATCGTCAAAGCCGACAACATCACCAATCTTGTTTACACTGTCATTTCACAAATGATCAGAATGGCATCAGCTATTAAATCAACAAATATTTTTTTTTCCTAAAAATACTTAGTTAATTATAGGGTGGGTTTTATCACTTGTAACTTCTTAGCATACAGGAAATACAGTATATGAAATTGATAATGAATGTAATTCAAGACCCCACCAAAAAATGCACTGGTTTGAACTTTGGTCTGAAAAGATGTTAGTTGCATGAGAATAGTTCCAAAACATATGCCCATGGAATTATGACACCATGACTGGTGTCAAAGATTGACTGGCAAACTACTTTTTATTTCTAATGAAAGAAAAATATTTTCATGTTAAAACAATGCCATACCATGAATTATCTGGTTTGTGTCATTTATGGAGACTTATAAAAGTATGAGAGTTGAAATTGTAAGTCTGGCTGGGATTGGTCATTAGGTACAGTCTTAGGTCTGTTTAACTTAATTGTTGTTTTCATTTGATGAAGG